TGGGATCGGGCGCCGGGCAGGGAGCGGGGGCCGCATTGCCCCTTCGTTGTGGGGTGAAAGTGCTTTATTTTGGGAAGGAAATGCTTCATTTTGAAAGCGTGAGGTCGCATAGGATAAAAATGGAAGCAGCTGAATTACTCTTTTCCTCGTGAAGTTAAATATTCGGTAAAACGTACTGCCAAAAACACTCCAGAAACAGAGCAAAAAGCCACAATGCGCTCTGAGGTACAGCATGGGGATGCACTGAAAGGAAACAATGTTTTCCAAACACCAGCTTTAATAGTAAATTTAACTGTTTTAAATATAATACGGTATTTATTTATTACCTCCAGCTGTTACGAGTCTCCTTGCTGACCCACAGAGCACAGGTGGCTCTGGGCTGGCCGTTGCTCCACACCTGCCGTCAGCGCGGGAGAAGGGAGACAGCAGCACCCAGCAACTACTCCGGGACGGAGACGTTCGGGAGATCCAGCCCGGCAGCGAGCTCCTCGGTACCCAGCACCAATTCTGCTGCCACCCCAAGAACACCGACGCAGCGCTGTCCCCAAATCCATGTTATCCCAAAGGTGAACCGAGCAGTAGGAAACACCCATCTAGCCCTCGATCCTCCCCTCATTAAAGTTCAGGACAGCAGAGGAGGGTTCCCAGTCAAGGCAATAAACTGGCTGAGAAAATCCGTTCTTCCTACAGCACGGAAATTTCGAGGCATTTTCCACCAACAGTGGCTGCCAACATTTCTGCTGGTGTGAGCCACGGCGGAAGCTGCAGCGTGGGCCAGTCCTCCACAGCCACGCCAGGTACTGATCCTCTGCAAGCTGGATGTGTTTATGTAATTTAAGCTACTCAGACATATCTTACATAATCCATCATAATAAATATGCAAAATCATAATGGAGTCCCTGTTTTAATGATTTTTAATTTACCTGGGAAGGCTGCTGGTGTTTGTTGGGTTTTGGCTGAGTTTCAAGTAGTAAATATTTTTTTTTTTTTCCAACAAAATCAGATTGACCATCACCTGTGCAAGAACTTGCAAGATTTTGCAAGGCTGTACCAAAAGTGAGGTTTCCAAGAATTTAAGCAAAAGAGTATGACTCCTTTGTGTTTTAAATGGTTCATAAAAGCAAATCCTAAATCAATGCCATCTAGGCAGCCTCTGTGACCACCGTATCAATTATATTAATTCACATTTTTAGCACATTCCAAAATTTACCAAGCAATAAACTAATTCTTCCACTTCTCAGGTTCTAGAGGCTTGCAGTAGAAATAAAGTTGTTATTGCAGTGCTTTATGGACTGTCATCTTCACCTATCACTATAATTAACTTCTGTTACCAAGGAGTAGCAGCTCATTTCCGCACACTTACATGCATTTTAACGGAGAAATTCTGTACAAGCCTTGTAGGTGATTCCCACCACGTGGGGAGCCGCAGATTCTCAGGAGATGCTCCAGCAACACTGTTCTGCTCAAGTCATGCGGTCTCCTATGGCGCTTTGTAAGGAATCAGAGGTTCAACACAAGCGGAGAAGAAGAATCCAGCGAACGTGGAGCAGCCACGGTCCGCAGAACAGCGCGCCAGCTTTCTCCGCAGCAGCACAGAGAGGCGATGGCAGGGCTGGACAGAGGCGCAGTCAGTAGGTTCAGGCAGCTCTTGCTCCCGCTACACCGAGCGGGCAGCAGCCACGATCGCAGCCAAAGTATGTTTCAGATTTTTTTTTTAAATGAGTAATTGACCAATTAGAAGTGTTTTATTACTTCTTTGAATTTATTAGCCATGATAAAATGTCAAAAGCACCAGTCAAGACAGAAATAAATAACACCATCTCATGTTAAAGAGAAAATTGCAAATACAGTATATTAAATTATAGCAATATGCTGCTTCACACCAACCGATGCAGACAGCACACTAGGGAGACAGTAGTTTTACTCACGATCATTGAAAAGATGTATTACCAGAACAGGAGAGCTGCACACCCCACTACAAGCATTATTCTTTCTTTTACCAATTTACTTAAGGATTTAATCAAGGGTTTGAATGGGCAGTTTTGGAAGTTCAACATCCCCTTTGCCTAGAGGTAATCAGGGTGGTACAAAGCTTTTCACAAGAAGCCACACAAGCACCCAAGGCTTTCACATCTTTGTAGTCTTTGCTTTCAGGTCCATTCCTGCGTCAAGTCAGTTTAAAGCCACATCTTAAGTCCTCCTTAGTACACAGTAAAGATAAACTCCGGGCAGGCAACATATGCAACATTAATATCATAGTATTCTGAAACTGCACTTCAGGGGCTTTGAGCAGAACATCTCTGCAAGTTTATGGGGAGCGCTATCAGTCAGAAGAATGAAGGAAATAAATTACAGTCGCTTTGGGGAAAAAATCCATACAGAAAAAACATATTAAAAATATTAAGGCAAGGCCTTCTACAATTGCACACCATTTCAGGCCTGAATTAAATCATGAGTGTTCTCTTACTTAGATGTTTCCCTAATTTCTCTCTTATGGCCTACAGCAAAGTTTTCCACTGAAAAAAATAGTGAAAAGCCCCACAAATTCGCTGCTAAAGGCCTAATAACATGTCACTTGCACAAACATCCCTCACGGTCAGTAAAAGATCATAAACGCATCCTCTTCCAGGCAAGCATTTAAAAAAAAAAAATCTTCTGTCAGAAAAAATGGATGTGTAATACATACTGTAGTGAAGTCACTTCTTATACAAAAAACATAACAGATGTGGACAGACGCACTGTAAAATAAACAGTTTATACAACAACTACAGCTTGAAACATGAGGCCCACTACAGCAGGTCAGACGGAGTAGAAAGCCAAAAGGAGAATCGCTATTTTTTAGATTTGACTTCACCACTGCTTATATGTAATGTCTACACTTTAAGAAAATTGTACATGAAAAAAATATATTTGATCATTCTGGTGAGGAAAAACATTCCCAAGATTACTCAAGCTCAGAAAATTTTTTAATTAACTAAACATGTTAAATTATGCCAGTGATTAAATCTTGTTATTTACAAGATCAAGTGCTACTCTGATTCTTAGTAATGGTGCAGTATCTAAATTAAGATCACAGGGGTTGGATTACATTCTGGTTGCTAAAAGCTTTCTGTTTTAGCTGTCTATCCAGTTCTTTGGAGCTTTTGAGTCTGGAAGAAAGGAGATGAAGTCAAACCTTTTTGTGCCTCGACATATTTTACATCTAGAACAATTTTTGTTATCTAGTCCCGTGACTCAGTAACATGGTTTAAATTTGAAGCCTGTAATGCCTGTGACATAAGAATACAGAAGACAACACATTTTTGTTCACAGTAACACACTAATTACTGTACTCACTGGTAAACGTCAACTTTGTAATTATTTCTCAGTGCTGTGTTGCCAAACACCTCTGCACAGAGCACCGAATTATTTCTGTGGGAGCATCAAATTTCCGGACGTTTTCCATGTAATCCTTACAAACACCTCACAGATGACCAAGCTTGTACTTTGACGAATTCTACAGAAACATTGCACAGACTTTGCACCACAAGGGCTTATACATTCAAAGGCAGCTTTCTGGAGTGCAGGTCCATCCATTCACATTGGGGAAAAAAGTTCACATAAACTCCAAAAATAAGAAAATGAAGTGAAACCTAGTGTGACTTTACACCAATAAGAACAACAATAAGGACAATTACTATAACAAACAAAATTAAAATAACAAGCATCTTCCGATTCTTCTTTTGATATTGCTCTGCCTACAGAAACAGAAAAGAAAGAGTTAATACTCAGGATTTGTGCAAAGCTACAAAGTACAAACTCTCGTTTAGTATAAGTGAAGTACTCCTATCTCAGCGTTGTTCTTTGGTAACCTGACATTTCACACCATGTGTATTGCAAGCAACTCCCACAAAATCCCTGTGGTCTGCACCACAGACCCCAGTGAAGGTAAGCGTACACTGAAGCCATGTTTATCCGTATTAAACTCTGTAAAGAAGAATGCACCCTTGTGTCGGTTAAGCAACCTTGCTGTGACTTCTTGTCCAGTAGCCCTTGAGAGGGCCCTGTGCCTCCCCAGGACGTACAAGAAACGCAGAGAGTGATACTTCATTTGGAAGAACACTTCGCTGTGGAGACCGTGGAAACAAGATCAGGCAACTGGGTATGTGAAAGTCTGAACAGTAAAAGTTGGTAAGATGTTTTAACTCATTTTGCTGATATAAGATTCTTGTATTATACCTGAAGGACATTAAAATCACAGCAAAATTTCAATTTCAATAGGCATTTTTGTTGTACCTGATTCAGCTGTGCACTTTCATTAATGTCAATTAGAACTGAAAGCTTTCTTTTTGATTTGGTTCAGTTTTCTGCTTCATTCCTTCTTTCTTCTAACCACATTTTCTCATCCCTTTCCTCTTTTTCCCAGAGGAATTAAAAGGAGGCAACATGGAGAAAACTCTCCAACAGCCAAATGAAAGTCTGCTAACAGAAGCTAAACAAAACAAAACTTGCATTTAATTCTTCTTAAGTTAATAAACCTTCAAAGTTTAAAGGGAAAAAGATATTAATTCTTCTCCTTCATAGTCCATGGAAAGTAATTATTTATTATCAGATCTGCTAAAGAGGAGTTTTGACCTGAAACTATGTAACACGCAACCACCCTGATTATTTACTTAATTAGGCTTTAAGTATCAAATCCTGACACAGTATTACAACTGACTGCAATTCTCCTGCGAAGAAGGAATCGGTAGTGATTCCTACCACCAGACTTCCACAGTGAATTAGTGCAATTTCTGTGAAAGTGCTCTTTCAGTAGTTTGTAATCATTATTCCAATTAAAACAGAAAATTGACATTATAGATATTAAATCAGAACAAAGCTACCAAAGGTATCTGTGTTTGATGTTAGTGTGTATGTCTTCCATGAGAGGTAAAATATTCCTAAGCTGTGCTGAGAACAGGTATATACAGACCCAAAATCCATACTCTCGTCAGCAATCCAAACAGGGATTTGCTGACAATTCATTAACTACTACTAGACTAGAAATAGCGTTGATTCCAACCGATTCATTTATTTCCAGTTCAGTTCGGGCAAATTGCTTGCATTACTTTAAGCCTTGTTCACCAATGGTCAATGCCTTATTTTAGTGATCTCCAACTTACTTTTCTGTATAACAAGAATAAACCTATAAACAATTTATTTTGCTTTTCCTCAAATGGCACTTTTTTGCTGTCCATATATTAGAAGTCTACCATAATATGAAGAAGCTGAGTCTGTAGTAATAGGATGTTCATGTTTCCAAAACGGAACGCTTTAATTAAGAGGCTTTTGCATAAATCTCTCATTTTACTTTATTTCCAGCAATGGAAGGACTGAACTGAGCTGACAAGTCAGAACTCGGCTTAAAATCAAAACAAAACAAAAAAAGCCAACAAAACAGAACACCCACAAAACTCTGTGTTCTGCTGCCAATTCAAACTTTACAGAAGTTCACAGTAAAAGCTTCACATTAAAAGCATAAGGTGAGACCTAACTTCTAACAAGTGTCAAATGGTAAGAGAAAACATTAAAAATTATTCTTGCTATTCACACTACTGAGATAATGTTTTCAAAACAGGATATATCAACTGACTGAAATCTATAGTGAGGTACCCAATAACCAGTCCTATTTCACAAGTGCTGGGCTCTCTGAAGAGAGAAGGAATTGCACATAGGTCCCACCAGGTCAGCAATGTAAAAGTCCAAGCACGTAGCTTGGATGCCCAGAAAGTTATTGAAGCAATCAACACTAGGCACCAAGCACATTAACAGAAGTTACATGGAAAGTTCCTACTACAGTACAATTAGACATTTTATACTGTACAGCAATCATTTCTAAGAGGGATGATGTCCAATTGAAAAATGACTAACTTAATGGCTATTAAATTATAAAAGCTTATTAGATATGCAAAGCAGCTTGAGTATTCTGTCAGCTTACCTTATGTAGTTGTTTTAGACCCTCTTCAGTTTTCATACATGACTGTTCGACATTGTAGTCAATTCTATCTAGAACTGTTCCCTAAATAAGATGGAGAGAATGAGCACCAAACTGAACCTAAATGAACTTCATATAGCAATTATTATTATGAGCAGCAGAGTAATAAACAACGCTCACAGCAAACAGCTAATGAACTATGTAAACTATGAACTTTTACAGAAGAACTACCTGGGACTTCATTAAATTACTTCCTTGCTCAATGCCTAACTGGCAGCTCTGTCACCATCTCACATCATATCCCTTAATAATCGCCTTACTTCCAGTTCAGGTGGTTTTAGCTGATACATTTAACCTAAACTGAATCTCTGGGAGAAGTAACCAACAAATCTTTGGCATTCTATGTTTTTTATTTTCAGTCTAACAGCCATAACCAGTTGAATTTTTATTTATTTTCATTAACTCATCTTCTGGCAGATTTCAAGCAGAGGAAACCTTATTCTGAAGAGGTAAGTCAGGAAGAGCTAGAAGCACGTGAATATAGGACATTACAAGAGTCTGGAAGCCTTAACGCTACACGGAATTTCCTATTTCTTATTAACACCGTGATGTCAATGTACCTGTTCTACTATCATTGCTCCCAGGTCCCTAAATATCTGGACATCTGTAAAACCCTGTTGAAATAAAAGATTCAGATGTTGAACTAACACTAACAGCATGAAAACACTAGAAATAACTGTAAGTATTATAAGATCGGATAGCACAATAGTCCTTTTAGAATTTCCATAGTAGACAATTATCTAAGAAAAATTCTTACTGTATTTTAAAAACAGTTTCAGGGCCACCAAAATAACTTGGACGGCTATCTATAAGTTTAGCAGAGAAAGTGTAAATCTTCCATCCTGCCTGGAACAACTTTCAAAAATAAGATCTGCCCTAAAGAATGGTTTTATTGATGTACAAAACCAATTGATGTGTCTTGTAGTTATGGAATATCTACTGATTGATCAGCATTACAGAAAGTCCCATAATGTCAATGGTCCTTAAACTGTGTAAAGACACAGCAGCAATTCTGATTTTGTTTTAAACTACAGAGAACTTACTGTTTTTGTCTCCCAAGACCATGCACAAATGAACACTATCCTTCCTCCTCATCACTCTTATAGAGAGATCAGCAAAGAACCTCTTATACACAAGATTAGCTGAAAAGCTGCCTTAATGGTTTCCCTAAGTTTCAGCTAAACATTAAGCATTATCGTTAAGAGTATTCTGTGGCACTATGAAACAGGATGCAATAGAACAGATCCCACCATTGCTTAGAAGTGCAGTATCCCCAAACTCCACGATAGAGCAAAACAAAGAAGCGTGTCTGGCAGTGCTGTACAATGTACCAACTTAACTGTGCGGAAACAAATCATTACACCTTTATCTGCAACCACCTGTAACACTGAAAATCTAAAGTTACGCTTTAGAGTTAACTTTAAAGAGTGCCACCTTCCACCCAAACTCAGAATCACACAATTTTCTAACAGTTACTCTTGCAGCTGCCCAGAAAGCTGGTGTGACAAAGGACAGCACTGTATTTACAGACCTTCTAGTGCCCTGTCAGTCACGTAAGGAGAATTCAGCAGTCACACCAAGCTCCCTCACTGATGGCACAGTCATCTTAAAGTCGCAACAACAACAATAATTAGGAAAACGCAACACAAATCTGCAGAAACACTATTTCCATGTAGCTTGGTGCTCATGGCATACCATTTTGACATTTTCAACTAAAGGTACATTAAAAAGTTTCTTCAAACTGAATTTGTGTAATAATATCTTAACTTACCCTATCATAGAGTGTATCATCCTCCCCATCATCCATGAGTGGGACTGAGGTGTCAAAGAAGTGTTTGGATCTTTCTTCTCTATTCTTCATGCCTGTAAAAGACAAACTATGTTTGAGCACAATATTTACGCACGCTAAAATCAGAGTAAGAGTAAGGTCTGAAGCACCAGATAGAAAAGCACAAGAAAGAAAATCTAGCTAATAAATGACATAAATAGCAGTATTTAAATTTTAACTCTCATATAGGCTTACTATTTAACAAAGCATAACAAATTCAACAAGACTGGAAAGATTTCAATTAAATCAGTGATTTTAAGTCATTATGTTCCATGAAGTTAAAAAAATTAGGTAAGTTAAGAGCCTTAAAACATAATCACTCTAGGCTATTATCTAACAAATTATCTTAGGAACATCCCTCATCTGAACTGTGCTCCTAAATTCCACCTGTGACACTTGTACTATGGGAGGAAGAAATGTTGTATCAGTATTAAATTTGAAGAGCAAATTTCTGTGGGTTTCTTCCAAGATTAAAATAATCTTACTTAGCTGAAAATAGAATTGTACACAATTTTAGAGTTTTAAACAGAGGATATTCCACTTCTGATCTGTTTATGGATGCGGAATTTTAATTCATCACAGACTACTTTTTGATCCATCACAGACTACCAACCAACAGCAATGTCTGAAGACCACTGGCTGCTTCATCAGTGTAACACAAGCAGCTTTGCAGACCACAGTCTGAGAAGCAATGACGCATTAAAAATGTGGATGGATGAAATACACTGGTTTCATTGCTATATTTAACCACGAAATTTCTCCTTTAGCAATACAAAAGAGAGGTAGGATACAGCAGTTTGAACATGGGCTGTGAACCAGAAACTCCCAAATTCCAGCCTCCACTCTAATATACTTCTGGTAGTCCTGTGTGCATCACTTAACCTTTCTGTGCTTCAGTTTTCCCAACCAAGAAAATAAGCACACCTTAGTTAGTGGTTTCCACAGAAGGTGCCCATGTATTACAGTAGCTCTTATGCTTACGTTTGAGATAGTCAGACTGTGCATGCCTAAAGTTGGTAGATAGGTCCTGAAGGGACTGTGCTAAGGAAGACACTACATTCCTGAGAACACGTGCTTCTTGTTCTGTACAACTACGTGACCTGCTCTGCAAGACCTGGACTGCTCTCTGACATCTGTGAAATAACTGAGAAAACAATTCCATTAGTACAAAACATACAGCAACACACAGTTTAAATATCACATAGCAAATTTCCAAATGGAAGACTAATATTTTGATTTCTAGATTTTTAAAATTAATTTCTTATTGCCCAGTGCAATGTTTAAAGAGGTATGGAAACACAGAACGTAGATGAACAAACAACGGAAAGCTAACAAGGTAGCAGAGTTACACAACCACTTCCAACCAAAGACATTCGCTTCATTGTAACTTCTTGGACTGGGAGCCTTAGAAAATATATCTGTATTTCTCCAAGATACTTGTAAATGAGATTTGCTTAAGTCTCCCAATCCTATTCCAAGTAGAAAAGCAAACAGGTAAGTAAAAGAACAGCGAGGTTACGTGACTCGTTGAGAAGTTCACCAAGACAGTGAGTGCTCTACCAAGCACAGAGCCTGGGACTTCTGGCTCACTCTAACACCGACTACAAAAGAAACACTACTCAAAGGAAACCAATGCCTCATCGTGATGCATTACAGATATGTCAAACTGCAGATTTAGAATTGAAAGCAGCCTGTACCTGTGTGATCTCTTGGGTTGTTATTTCTATCGCCCGTTCTTCCTCACTGCTGTCATCCAGTGTTGGTCTGTTTAGGTGTTTATCATGAAGACTGGCTAACTCCTTCATCTTCTGTTTAACCCTGGCGATATCATACTGAATCTAAAACAGAAACCCAACAACAAAGAAAAGGAAGTGACTAATGTTTCAGAGGAAAAGGTTCTCACAAATGCTAGACAAAAATAATTGAAAGAAATCTATATAACATAAAGCAAAACAAATATAATTAAAAAAACCCACATAAGAAGCTGACTAAGAAGTAACTGAACACTCTTATATACTTTGAGTTTGCTATTTTTTAAACTTACTCTCGTTAATCTTAGGCAAGACTGCTGTTTTAAAATATGATTCATTAAGTTAGAATAATATTTTTATCGTTATAAAATTAATATCATAGTAAGAAGGTTTAGATGACTTCCAAAAATATAAATGAAAATTCAGGTCACACCTTCAACTCTGTCAAACATTGAATAGTCTGAACTTAACAGTAGAGGTTAAATGACATGCTTTCAAACAAGTCATTAAAAAGAAATCTGTAAGGATGATTATTATTGTAGTAAAAAGGAGATTGATCACCTTTCTGCACAATGGGTTCTGTACACACAAACTCATGAGCCAACATGTGTTCTGAGAGTACATTTTAAAAGGCTTTTCTGGAAGTTACGAACAGCGTCACACTCCAAATACTGGAAAAGGTTTTTAACTGGATGCCGCCAGAATCACTCCCTCACATTTGTCCAAATATTTCCGTAACTTGCAAGACATCAGTACTGCACAGGCAGGAAAATTCTCCTGCTAGAATACACTAACACTTTCTGTTTTCAAATAGCAAACCGCTAATCTCCACCATTTTAGGGTCTATTAAATCAGACCCCTCAACAGACTCAAACAAAAGTCTACTGGAAGTGCTAATTTTTTTGTACCCTTCCTTCTAAGTTTCAAACTGAGAACAACTTTGCTTTGCTAAGAGCTTTAAGACCTTCCTGCAATCTCAAGCCTAAATGCTCAGCCATAGCATGTCTGTCCTAATGGTCCCAGTGTACTGTTAATACTGGGCTCTCACTGATGATGCAAACCCAGTCTTCTGGGATTTCTGGCCGTAGATAATCCCCCTTTATTTCACTTGCAATATATTCTTCAAGATAGGAAGTCACAGCTTGCCTGGTATTTTCCTCTAAAGAAGGGTGTCAGTTTAGAAAGCACACTTATTTTAATCTTTCTTCCGATACTGCTTCTATCATAACACAGCATTCAGAATGTAACCGGCAACACCAATAAATCCCTATACAGGAAATCAAACTCTGTGCTGGATTTGCCACACAACTTACTTCGTCTGCTCCATCAACCCATTTGGGAGGTAAGCGTTTTGTTACTCCAATTGCTGCCTCAGGATCTAAGCTTATTCCTGATACCAGTGCCATACGATCATCAGCAAGCTACAGAAGATAAAAAAAGACAGCAAATTAGTTTTAGTCAAATTAGATCCAAATCCTTGAGCATTAGGAAAAAGTGCACGAATGCCTTCCCACAAAACTCAACCTCAAAAAAGTGTTTGTGCGTGATGCAGGTAGTATCAAGCACCACATCTCCTGGTTTGTTCCTACACGCTAACAACCTACATCCTCCCACTTCCTACAGGATCTGAAAGATAAAAGCTACTCTTAGAATGAATTTGTAGCAGATTTTCAAGGAGAAAATATGGTATTGCCATGAGAATTGAAGTAATTCTCACATTGGTACATTTTGTATTAGACAATGATTCACAGCCAAGGGATCCCTAATCGATGGTGTAGCATGGTTCATATTGGGCCAGGCAAGTCTGAAAATCTCATTTGGGGAAATCGCCAAACAAAAATATTTATTATATCTCCAAGAAATAAAAATAGTATCCTTTGACTGTTCTCAAACAACGCTGTATTTAGCCAGACACTCACCTACTAGGCAGCTAAAGAACAAACACTCTTGAAAACTGACATGCAACTAAAATTGTTATGTTGTTTATTTAATGGAAATTAAAAGGTGCTAAACAAAAATAGCCAAGGCAGCAACCAGTCCACACTTCCCTATCACAAAGACACACTTGCTGCTTCAGCTATGTGGTCGGAGGCAAAGCATCTTGCAGGAAAATGGGTGGAATAATTCTCCAGAAAATTCCACAGACTGACAGAGAGTAAATAAGACAGTGTGCCAGCCAGCTTATACACAGCTTTCCACAGATCCACAGGAGGGCTGGAGACGGTGACAGAGTAAAAGAAACCCTTTATCACAATCAACAGCCGTAATGTGAATAACTTGGGTGCAACAAATCAGGGGTCTATATTATTGGAGACTGATGCACACTGACGTACAGCAGCACAGTCGTAGTTGCAGAGGGGTATGATATACTTTTTGGAGACTATTTCTGGGAATAGAATCCCATTTATAGAGTTTAAATACTAAAAGGTTTTAAACCCCCCCACATAATTAAAATGCCTGTGATAAATAATGCCTGTGATAAATAATGCCTGTGATAAATCTACCAGAATCTTATTTTTCAAATAATACTTTTGGATGCACATTGAATAACTTCAACCTCAAGAAAGCTTAAAATATGACAACTACGAAGGAATAAGAACATAATGTGCAGGGTGTTTGTTTTGGTTTTGCTTGGTTGGGTTTTTAAAGCTCAGTTTGGCAGAAACCAAAAGTCATGGTCTGATCTTGAATATACAGCTACAGATTTACCTATCTGCTTTGATATCATTACCAGTAAAACGTGCTGTTCACCCTCAAGAATTCTTTCGTTAGGGACAGTATTAGTACTGCTGACCTTTAAACAGATGAGAAGATTTTTCTTGGTAGGGTTTAGAAACTTACATAAACAGACTCAGTGCTACAGCGCAGGTACAAAGAAACCTGTCTCTACAACGGCGCAGTGCTGGATGAGGGTGTCCAGAGAAACTGTGGCATCTTTGTTCTTGGAGGCTTTCAAGGCTTTGTTTAACCACGTCGTTCATGATCCTACACAGATTACCAACAGTCCTGTTTGGAGCACGAGCTTGAACTAGATGGTCTCCAGAGGTTCCTTCCAACAAGCATGCCTACGATTCTCCAGTTCAAGGCTGATACACACCGAACAGTGTGTGGGGCCACAGAGCAACATTTAGCACTGGGGCCATAGATGCTTCCAGTCATCTTCCTCCTCTGAGAGGAAGGCAGGGGAATCGATGGAAGACAAATACAGATATTGTTGCCAGTTGAACCAGGCTTTGTAATTTCAGAGATAAAATAATCTTCCTTTACTGGAGATAGAAAGAGGTGGTACCATCAGTGACACCACTCGAAACATACCTAATCACTGTTTGCTCTCAGGGAAAGATTTTATACTAAAACTTCACTTCCTCATTTCTCCCAGATTTCCAATTTTCAAGCCTGGGAAGCTTTGTGTTACCCATCCCCCACCTCTTTTAAAAAACAAACCCTCTTCCTTCCTGGGCAATTCTTTCCCGAAAGCCTGTTTTTTATCCCCGACCTTACTTCCTGGCCAATAAAGTTTGTACAATGTATGCATAGCATAAAAAAAAAATAGTTAATAGCTTCATTGTACAAAGTCACTGTATCCCACATGCATACAGTAAGTCAGACTAGTTTATATGTGTATCTATCAAAAACGTAGCAATATATCACAAAATGCTTGTCTTCTCTATGCAGCCTTGTCCTCCTGCTGTATATGGAGACACCTCATCCTATATAATGAAATTTAATAAACTAGCAAAATAATGAAAAGAACACTTTAGCTCAATGATGTATGCTTCATGCGCCATGGCAGAATAAAATGCGAAAAACAATACCTCATCCAGCTCCTGAAGTGATTTGTGGATCCCATCAGCCCCATCCAGTTAGAGACAGCAAAAGATAAAAGGGAAAAAAAGAGACATAGGACAGATATAGGGTATGGTCAGTTGAGAAAATACTGATCTATTTTTTAAGCATGCTGGTTTACCAAGAACAAAACAAACTTGCTTTTAAAACATGGCTATTCAACAAACACAGCATGATATTGTATTTTTTATGTCAGCATTTTGCTTGATGCACAAACTTTTAAAAAAAAATATCTCAGTTGCTTGGTAAACAGAAAGAACAGAAGATATCAAGTTAAGAGCTTGGTTTGTTTTCCAAAGTAACTGCACAGTGACATTTCCAGCTACTAAAATTTCAGGTAGAAAAACTGCAAAAGAATATGTTGAGGTGTGACAGCAAAGGTAATTTGACTGCAGTATTCAGCATCCACTGGTGAGCTAGCAGGTTTGAGTATGACTGGAGGATCCACATACAAGCTTTTGTAAGACATTTACTGACAAGCATCCCAGTTATCACAGGATAAAACAGACAGCAAAAGACAAAAAGCAAAAGCAAATGTAGTATATGCTCACTTATGTACACACTTCAGTTATGCTCTAGTTTCAGGTAACATTAATGCTACATGCATCTGAAAAAATACAAAAGGCAACATATCTGCACCTTCTCTATTCATCAGTCTTTGTACTGTAGAAGGTATGTGTGAGCAATAGGATATTTCACTGAAATACTAATAAAGCAAGCAAATCTGATCTAAAACAAGGACAAAATACTTGTGGTTTAACAAGCAACAGGCTTCAACTAATGACCTGCTTTATCCTATAGCAAGCCTTTGAAATAGGACTATACTGTTAAGCCTGCTGATTTGTTTATCTGAGTTTAAGGAGTGGTTGACTGTCCACAGGAGAATGCAGTTCCCAGGGCAGAATGCAATTTTTGTCAGAGAGCTCTCTCAGTAGAAGGTATCTTCAGGAGAAGCCTGGAGAGCAAACCACGGTAAGCCAAAGCACTACGAGCTAGAATTAGCGACACTGCCCTGCTGGCATGCAGCAGCTCTGCTCCGGGGACATCACCCAGAAGAAAAGGTAATTAGCTGCAACTCTGACAGCGATAGGCACCGTAGAAACGTGAAAGGCAAACAGCTCACACCACCATCTTCACACTTCTTGCTAAAATAGTACACTTGTAGTAAGTATCTTCAGAACTCTGAACTGTCCCCAGGATTGAGACTGAGCCACTGACTAACTTCATCCACTGCACAAGAGCGACAATTTCCAATCACTGTTCGCTTTTGTTACTTTTGAATGAGCATCAAGAAAACAGCTTCAACTAAATAAACTCTAAATAAATGTTTTATGCAAGTGCTAAGCGTTATTGCACTCACTGTTGAGTAAAACTGTAGTTTCACTGCTCAGTAGACTGTATGTGAGTTTAAACTATCGCTAACTTTTCTAGGTAATATTTCAAAAAAATCCAAGGATCTAACGAAGTGATATTGATAATGGCAAAACCTCGTGTTAACAAGACCTAAATGCAGTGCAAAATTAAACACGTATAATACACATTACCATTGACATTTCCTGTTCTGCAAATGCAATTTAACGCGAAGCTTGTTAGACACAGGTGTAATAAAGTTAACAATGAACAAAGACTGTACAACAGCAACTCTTCAGTTTAAACTAAATTTGCAGCACAAAGTACTGCTTTTCCTAACCAAAATGCATTAATGCAAAGCAATTTAGAATTATGAGACTATCAGCAGATATTTACTGGTGCCTATTACAAAGAAATGCTAAGTTTGAATAGAAAGTGTAAAAACCTCAGGAGAGCTGAGCTGCCAAGCAGTCCATCACTGACCAGCTCCTGACTTAGAAAGAGACGCATAAAAGGCCTCTGGACAAATGACTCTTTGAACCTTCTGTAACGAGGATTTACACTAGAATCTACTGAGGCCCCCCTCTCACAGATGATTTTCAGTATTATCTGTATTTGGGGGGAATATAAAAGGACAATGGACATCAGAGCGAATTATGGAAAAACTGAAGCAATGGGAACAATTTACACTCGTGTATTTAACAGTGCCCACATTGAAGGGAATAGAAAAGTTCTGCTCTACGAAATAACTTGGATTTTTTTTCGTTGGGGAAAGTAGGCATCAAAAAGTGCAACGGACAAGAAACCCCATACCAACGCTAACATGAAATTATTAGAACAGCAACTGCTGACAGTAACAGAACTCAACACAGAGGCAGATCTCTTCCATTCATTTTACGTGAAGGGGTAAGAAAAAGGGATGGAGAAGGTGAGGCGGGTGGGGCCGGGGGGGGAAGCAGAGAGGGCGGCGGGGCCCTGGGGAACGGGGCACAGCTCGGCTGCCTGGCAGCCCTAGGCGCAGCACGGTACGGAAGGATGAAGGGAGGAGACTCACCGCAGCAGCCATGCTACGTGAACTCAGAGGGCTGGAGGAGCCGTAACTACTCACTTGCTCGGCCAGCAGCTGCCGGCTCTGCACCGCGTTGTTCCGCAACAACAAAAACGCGTCCGTTAGACGCCGGGGGGCC